TGTATGTACTTGCATGCAAACCTGAATATAGAATATGTGCTCTGATATTTAGAGTCTTTCCTCAAAAACAAGTAACTTGGTAATACATGTTCAGCCTAAATATCTTAAAGCATGTTGGATATACTTTGGAGTCAGTGCAAAAATAAAGTTTTCTGACTTTTATAATCACTCCTTACGTGTATTTTGCCCCTTCGTACATGGGAGTGGGGTCCTTTATGATCTATGACACAAACTGTTGTCTGATTGAACCACCCAGAGAGCTGATATCAAACAGCAATATTTTACCTTCCATTGCTTGTATTTATGCTTGCATTCATCTTTTCTGTGCTGCCCTGTCTACACGTTGTCAGATCTGTCATTTTACTCTTTGAAACCTTCTCAACAACGCGCTGCGTTCTTTTCCAGATGCTTCGCTCTTTTCTGACCTGGTACAGGAAAAATTTCACAAACATCAGATAATTTCTTATATGTCAACATGTGCATCTAAGTGCTATCGAGACTTCTGGAGCCAAAACGACGTCGGGGTTGGTTTTCATGGAGTCACCCAGAAACAGATGTACTGCAAACATACACAGCGCCGAGCCAAAACTGTTTCCCATGAAAAAGAAAACATAAAGCGTCTACTCTATAGACGAGCTGTGCAGCTAATTAGACGGATGCAAACGTTTACCTTTTCTTTCCAAGCACATCTTTCAAATGCTAACATCCTCCGAGCTTCCTCTGCTTTAAGTTCTGCTTGTCTCTACAGGAACTCATCTGAACATCTTTGCCCTGCGTGGTGATGAACAGAAATTTTTTGTAAATGCAAAAAAGTTTTGTGACTGTCTGCCACTTTTCTCAACACTTCGAAAGTTAGTTTTGTGTCTTTAAGGAAGTTTATTGTTGTTGTTGTAAGATGCTACCTGGACAGACTGTTATAATCCTAAATGTGGTCACTTTACACCAGGAACAGCTTCGTCCCTGGAGGAAGTCGAGTCTGCAGCACATGAATGCCCCTTATTGTATTCTGATACTCTGGTCTTTGGGTATCCTCCAGCTTCTCCCAGTTTTTCTTTGCCTCTTTTTCGTCTCTTCCCGTCTGACATCCTGAGTATCCGGCCAAAAAGGATCTGCTGAGTGCTGACTCTCAGCAAAGGAGGAGACAAGGGAGCCAAATTTTGACAGAAAAAAACCCCAAAAAAACGTATCCACTGTCTTGATTAAATCCGAGGGGATTATTGAATCGAAACCCAACAGACTTAATTACCAGGACGGATAATAGAGAAACGGAGTGAGCAGCTTCAGACAGGATGGATGTGGAAAGAAGAAAAAACAACCATAACAAAGACGTAGTTTCCAAACAACTTTAAACAGGGCGTCTGGCTTATAAAGCTTCTTCTCATTTTTAAGTTTCAAAGAAGACTCCCGCAGCATCGCACATTCATAAGCCTGTAAAATCATCCATAAACTGATGCAACCCTTGTTCTTTTTATGAATACAAGGCTCTTACGTCAACAACTTCTGCCCGTGTATGAGATACATTTGGCAGGGAGGCGAGAGAAAAGTCTGTGATCTCGGTATGGATTTGTTAAGGTTGGATCAATCCAACATAAACCCAAATGACCCCGGGCCCGCGGTGGTTTATCACACTCTGCTGCTGAAAGGATGTCCGCAAGCCTCCAGACTCACTGGTGCAAGTGACTGTTACGTAACTGCAGAGAAGTAACCAGACACAGTCACACCCTCCTCGCTAAAACAATCTTTTCCTCTTTGCAGCGCAGACTTTCCCTGCGAGAGGTGCAGAAATGTTAATGCACGGATGTGACGCTAACCCATAGTTTCACAGAGAGCTGGTGAGATGTGCTGTATACACCTTCACTTTGCTGAAGCTCTTGATGATGTGCTTCTGTCTGCCTGGTGTTTGCAGCAGCCATCAAGCACCCTCAGGCGTCGACGCTTCCCACAAAAACCCTGTTGCTTCAGACTGAAATGTCTGGTTCCTGGCTCCCAGCGGCTGGTGGAGAGCAGCCTCTCAAAAAGCACTCAGACTCGGGCTCAGACCCAAACGGGTGCCCTGAATTTTTAGCTCCGTCACCCTCGCTGCCAGGAACGACGGGCGACGAATCCTGGAAAGTTTTACCTCCTGAATGTTCCAAATGGGACAATGGCAGCTTGTGTAGGACACAGGCATGAGCGCTTTACGTAGAAAGGAACAATGCAGGGTGCAGGGACAGTCTGGAGGAGCCTAGAAATGTGACGATGAAGCTGGAAGGGTTGGGGAAGCAGAGGAGAGGGAGACGATGCCGAGCTCCATTCAGAAAGGAGTCACATGACAAGCATGCACAGCTTGGAGATCAGATTTCTTGTGAGGTCAATGACAAATATTGAACTTTCCCGCAGGCGTGACTGTTGTGGAATTTAAAGATCTTCCCTTTACATCCATCCAACCATCTGTGCATGTCAGCACGTACACGTTTGCACAGTTTCGTCCAACAAAAGGCTTCAGAAGACGATAAAAATAGTTAAATCTAAGAATTATGTTCTTCTTTTTGAAGGTTTCTGTTTCTCTCTCTGCCACATTTATGCATGAAATGTGTTACATTAACAGTGTTATGGAAGAAAAAGTGAAATCCTTCTGTGTGTGTGGCCAGGCTGTAGCTGAAACACTAAAGAACCCAGTATGGGATGTGCACGCACTTCCAACACTTATGCCCCAACAATGGATCAGGATGCAAAACAAAGCCACATGCAAGTCTCACTGCATGCTTGTGTGCACGCGCTGAAAAACCGCAACCAACAGTGTGGAGCTTGTGTTTCCTATGAAGCGTGTGTGTGTGTGTGTGTGTGTGTGTGTGTGTGTGTGTGTGCGTGTCTGAAGCAAAGCTAAACAAAACTCTGACAGTTTGAAAGTTCTGATCAACATTTGCACATCTAAGATATCTGCTTATGTCCTTGTGGTACCACAGAGAACCCGATGAAACTGGGTCTGGCAACAAAGTCGATGATGTGGATTTGTACGTTTCACTTTTTTGCAGTAAACAGTCATTTAGCTGCAGGTTTTCAAAACAAACAGCACCACAGGGGTTAAAGCCGATGGCTGAGACGTTTGCCCAATATTTTCCTCTCTTCCTTTCCAGAGGTTAAAGAAACTCTATCCTGAGTGAGTTCCATCGATTTTACGAGTTGTAGACGAGGGAAATACTTTTTGGCACAGAGCAAAAGTAGGCCACATTTAGACAAGCCATCACCTTATAAATTAGGAGACTTCTGTTTTTAAACACTGGCAAAGTCTCAAAACCCACTCAGGTCTGTGTGCTCTGAAAAAATGTAAAAAAAAAAAATCATTCCTAATATGTCTGCGCCTATAAGTAATAAGTCACTGATGCATTTGCAAAGAGTTTAAATTAAAAAACTTGCTGAATGACACTCATTGTTACGGATCCATTCAATTCCAACCAGCATGAAAACTAATTCAGTTCAACAGAAAAGGTTCCAGTCTGAGTCTGGTCACCATGTGCCTGAACTCACAGCGACCACCGAAAACCATCACACCTCCACATCACGACACCAACACCAGGAAGAGGAAGAGTTCTCTGGAATGTGACTGACAGAGTGGTTCATCCTAATCACTGACAGGGAGAGAGGAAACTCTTGGATGACAAGATGGAGCAGCTGGAAGCCATTTGTATGGATACAGTAAACGTGTCCTTGGTGTTACATTGAAGGTAAAGTTCTGTACTGAACATAAAACAAAAACTCTAAGTTCACACGTCAGCGGCCTTTAAGATCTGCTTTAGGATGTGCAGACAAAGACCTTCATCACTGCAACTTTTGGAAGCATGAGTCACTGCCATGTGTACTACCTGTCACGCACCTTTTTAATTAACTGGATTGTTCAGTTTCTTGTAAAGACAGCGAGCAGAACAGCAGCAGTGAAACCTTAGCAAACACTGCCCTCTTCTGGTAATACAGCAAAAAAACAGTAGCGTGTAGGAGATCACAGTCTGAAGTTCACCAGATGAGACCAAACACTATTTACAGATCACTGATTGTTTTTTTCCTCACCAGGTTCATGTCATTTTGGACAGACAGTGTTTAAAGTCCTCCACACACAGGTGTTCACACATCTGGTCAGCCAGAGGCGGCTTCATCAGACATACTGGAGCTTCTCAGTTTTCTACAGACTTACATCTTTTGATTGGACTGGAGCCATTTTGGCTGAGCATTAAAAAAAAGAAAATCTCCTAAAAACATAGCACGAAAACAAATGCTGATAGTCATCACGCTTTGCCGTATGAGACCGAGGCTATAAATCACAACCAGAGACCTCTTTGAAGTTTCTCAGGTTCTAATCATCTTAGACTCCTCAGCAAACTTATGAAACAAATACAGACTTAACTTGAAAGCGCTTCTGAAAATAGTTTTGAGATTCTACGATTGGTGAAGGGCTGCAGGTGTCTCAGTGGTTAGCACCGTCGCCTCACAGCTAGAAGGTCGCTGGTTGGCGTCCCGGTGAGGACACCCGGGATCTTTCTGCGTGGAGTCTCCATGTTCTCCCCGTGCAGCGTGGGTTCTCTCCGGGTTCTCCGGCTTCCTCCCACAGTCCAGAAACATGCTGAGGTTAATTGGTGATTGTAAATTGTCTGTAGGTGTGAATGTGAGTGTGCTTGGTTGTCTGTCTCTAAGTGTAGTCCTGTGATAGACTGGTTACCTGTCCAGGTGAACCTGCCTTCACCCTGAGTCAGCTGGGATAGGCTCCAGCCCCACATGACCCTTGTGAGGATTAAGCAGTGTATAGATGAAGAATGTGATCTACAATATCTGTATTGTCCTCAAGTGGGTCCAAAGACATTTGAACCAAAAAACAAACAAACAAAAACAACCCACCCAGTCTATATGAACGGTTCTGTTGTGTTTTTACTTTTTCTTCTCTTCAAACATCCTTTTAAAAACCATCATCTTAGGGTCTTGGAAAACCTGCTACATATGAGCTGAAGAATGAAGAATCAAGACTGTACAACTGAAATCTTATAATTTTATTATAATACATCAAAAACACAGACTACTATGACATTGTCTGATTTTAGTGTGACTGGATCTGACACAGCTCACTGCGTATGCACTCTGGTTGTCTGACAGTAGTCTAGCATGGCACCCGTGTTCTGGGTGTTAAAAACAAAAGCCAGCTTTGATGTTCAAGGTGGACTTTTTTTATTATTATTATTTTGTGCGCTTTGAAAAACAGTCTGGTGGTTTGGGAGCAGACCTGAGATTAAAAGCACTTGCAAATAACTTGTATGTTTGATTCAAACGGCGTACGTTCCTCATAAAGACGATGTCATCAGCGTTTTAAATCAGCTCTGATGCCAACAACCGTCTGAAGGTTTAAAGAGATGTTTAAAAGCACGTTAACGCTCAAGATATTAATACACTGAAAATTATTTGCAACTACTGTTTGATCCAGGTCAGGGCGAGACGGACTGAAGAGGATGTCTGAGCATTAGCTTCTACTTTTTGGCATTCTGAAGACGCTCGCTCACATTTTCCCAGTTGACTACGTTCCAGATGGCCTTAACGTAGTCAGGCCGCACATTCTTGTACTGAAGATAGTAGGCGTGCTCCCATACATCGATACCAAGCAGGGGGATGAGACCTGAGGGCCAAAGACAGGAGAAACAACACCGACGGCTCCGTTTCATATATTGCATTTGTCAAAGTACAGTATGAGGAGTATGCATGAAATCCTGGAACAGTTCTCATCTCTACTTTAAACCACTGACCTGTCGACCCTTGCAGGGGATCCTGGTTAGCACAGGCAGCAATGCGAAGTCTCCCACTGTCCTTCTCAAATCCCAGCCAGCCCCAGCCTGAGCCCTGCACCGCCACTGTGGCTGCAGACATCTTCTCTTGCAGCTTCTGGAAGGAGCCAAAGTCCCGCTTGATAGCCTCCATTAGCTCCCCTATGATGTGTCAAACAGATGGGCGCTACGTCAGTGAAATGGTTCACCTCAACCGGATCGTCTTCACTAAATTAACCAGCACATTTACAAACAAACACTACAACATCTGAAAGAGAGAGTACTCTCAGGTTCATACGAACTGAAAGCTGCTTTATGATTCACAAGAAACAAAGGCCCACATGATATTCTAGATTTCCCTTTTAGATCTTTTTTTTTTACCACTAGGGGGCAGAAACACCAAATAAAACAATCTGGTGTAAGCTCCAACCAATGAGCTAGGCTGCTCTGGAACACCTGTTAGCTAACAGGTGCCTCCTTCTTTCACATCCACTGGAGTCATGTGTCAGGTCTGCTGATAAATGTGAGTTCAACATCCACGTTTAACCTCGAGTGCACCAAATGAACCCAATGTGGGAAAAAACACAGAAGATAAGCTGATTTAAGTTTTGTATGTTTTGTGTGAGTGCTGCTGGCATACCCTGTGGCTCGCCTCCACCGTTTGGAGAGAGGTTTGTCCAGAAGATGGAGTGGTTAATGTGGCCTCCCCCATTGAACTTCAGCGCTGGCTGGAGAGAAACCTGTGTAGTCACATCTCCTAAAATACAAGTCGAATACAGCGTCAGTGAAACCTCAAGATAGTCCTCAATTACAAAGAGACGTTCAGGATAATGCATTGTTGGCAGCATGGAAACGTGTTCCTGCCAGAAATGTTGAACACTAACTGTCAGCATTGAGATTACGGCCGTATTTGGGCAGCTGTGGGCCGATTGTGTTGCTTTGTGATTGTACCCTTTACGAGCGCCTCCTTATATTTCTCCTCTGTAACGTTTAGGTTGTTGACGTATGTGGCGTGATGCTTGCTGTGGTGCAGCTGCATTATCTCTGCACTGATGTGGGGCTCCAGCGCGCCATAGTCGTAGGGCAGGTCAGGGAGAGTGTGCTTCTGCCTCGATGCCGCTACCTGGTTTATAGTTTGGCTGAGGCTGGCTGCACACCTGAAAGAAGGCAAACAAACACGGCCTCATGACACCGTCAGAAACACAGCTGTCGGTAGAGCTGAATATTTTGGAACATCTAATTCAGGTTTTTCTGACAGTTTGATTTGTTTTGTAACTTCAAGCTTTAGTTTAACATTCACTATGTAAAAGATTTAAATGGAGCATTTCCATGCGAGATACCACCAAAAGTGTGACTGTTGCATAAGCAGGAAAGCATAAATTTACAAAAAACAGATGTGGGTCAAGCCTGGGCCAGAGAGGAGGTGAACAATGAATGTGGGCTCATGTTGAACAATAGCCTACATTCATAAACAACACAGTATTCACTGATCAGGTGACAAACATAAACAAGTCCACAAAGTTTAACACGTCTGTGAAACAAATACAATTAAATTACAGTATTAGTCTAAATTATTTAACAGCCACACCTCCTAAATTGGAGCCTTTAACAATTAGTTTGACCTGCAGACTGGATCTGAAATCGATCACTTGTTCAGTCTTTGCTGTCTGTCAGCCTCAGAGTGGTTTCCAAGAGACATAAATAACTGAGCTTAGCTACCAGGCATGGTTATAATAGCAAAGTGATTTAGTTGCACAGCATTGGCCCAGAATATCCTGGCACAGGTAGGTTTGTTTAAATTTCAGTCACATCAGTTTGACCAGCCTGGAGCAGCTGGCTGGAAGTGACCTGAATGCCTCAAGCTGGATGTGGACTGACGCTGCTGCTGAACCATGAAGTCAGATATTAGTCCACTAAGCAGATAAAATAAAGTATGTACGAACAAATGTGTCCAAATATTCCAAAATTCAGTTTACCACTTCACACAAAACCCTGTGAATACACGATCCTGCGATTACTAAACAAAACCGTTTATATAGTGCGCCACAAGCTAACCTAGCTGAGCAGCTACACTCAGTTAGCATCCCGGCTAGCTAGCAGTTAGCCGTCAATAGACAACTGTCTCAAGTTCATGAACAAGTCATGCTAGCAGGAGTCAGCTGTCCTCGTTCTTGGTGCACTCTGGGCAAACTACCGGCACTAAACAGCAGGATGACTTTGGCTTTACCTGCGTATTTGCGCAGCTCTGCAAAGCATGTTCCCGGTGTGGCTGAATGGGTTGACAGACGAGGGTAGACACGCTGGTACCTAACTGCCCTTGAAATGTGCAATTTCAAGTTGACAGAGCGGCGGACCGTACCATTAGGGTCGTGTGGGGGTGTTCACAGGGGTGTGCGAGAATTAGATAAACCTCATCGGCGATAACTGAAACCGCTCCTCATAACAGAGATACTGACAGAATAGGTATATATTCATGCTTGTTACGGAAGTATTGTGATCAACTAAAATACATGTAAAAATTATATTAAGCATTTGACTCACCCCTGCTATGTAATTTTTAACTCAGCCTTCTGGTTGTGGCCTTAATGAAGGTGCATTAGATCATATGAGTGTAGACTGTGTGTGAGTGCTGCACAAAACTTATTGCATATTTCGTTATAAACAACCTTACTATCTGTCTATTTGTTATATTGCAATTCCATTTAGGAACATGCCAAGAAAGGTAAAAAATGAAAATAAATAAATGCTGAATAACAACTGTAACACCGTCATAGCCGTTGTAAGTAATCGGTGCATCTAAGCTGCATAATTACCATAATTATAAAAACAAAAATCAAAGAGTCACGTGAACCTTTTCTCCACCACATCGGATCGGAGGCAGTGCCAGAGATCGTCTATAATAAGAGGGTGAATCAACAGGGAGACCTCAGTAATTAAGGAAAAATGCATTTCTTTATTCACACATAGAGAAGGTGAAGACTCGTTTCCCATGATACCAACACAAATCACCACCATGCACCGAAGTGATGCATGATGGAAAACAACAGTGCATCAAACAACATTTTAAATATAAACCTTTCTATCACTTTATTGTCCAGTGATTTTCTACATCTGTTTTTTTATTTACCTGCTTTTCCATAAACCAGTTATCCTTCTATAAATGCTCTATTTGTCAGTGTTTACGGCTATAAACACCAGGTTAAATTACTTGCATGTATTAACTTGTTTAATATGATACAGATTTTGTCTCTGAGGCCACAATCCGTGATGAAATGTAATGTGTTGAGGCTTTGTGTGATTATTAGTTTATTTTTAAAATGACAATAAAATGGCAGGAAAATGTCCATTGAACTATTCAGATTATTGCAAAGAGAAAAAAATGAAAAAGCTGGAACAAACAATCAGACGTTTGAATATCAGAAGATTGTTAAGGATTGTTAACGATTATTGACTTTGTTGGACAGCTGTTTCTCAGAACTTTCATGACTCTGTGGTAGCTTCTGTTGTCTTCTACACTGTGGACAGGAAGAGGCTCAACAAGCTCATCAGGACCTGTTGTCCTGGACGCCATAGAGGAGGTGGGTGAGAGGAGGATGCTAGCCAAGCTGACATCCATCGTGGACAACACCACCGTGGGTTCTCTGAGCAGCTCCTTCAGCAGCAGACTGATCCACCCTATAGCGTGTATAGTGTGTGTATAACTCTATTGTATTGTATTTCTCAACTCTCCCTATTTATAGTTTATTTGTTCTCTTTTTCTTCCTGTCCTCTTTTTTGTGCTCTTTCCTGTATCTGGGCTGCAACAAGTGAGTTTCTCCTTTGGTGGTGAAAAAAAACTGCAATCTAATCTAAACTAAACACCTGTTGTAGTCCAAACCTACAATGTAAGTGAAAATAGGAGCGATGAATATGTCGAATATCTTTGTTTGAAATAAAAAACAAAAAGTGTCAGAGGTCAACATGGACCCATTGAAACTGTTTAGAAATTTATATGATGGGAAAATTAATAAGAAGCTTATTTCAACTTTGTACAAATGGATTAGGGACGAATCATAAGCATCATTCCACTGAATACAATAAAACCCTCTTTCCATCGTCTACCTGAGACATTATCAAGCAATCAAACTTAAGTTATCTCTATTCTTGCCATTTCTACTGAGTCAGATCCACTCAGCTTCAGTTTGATTGATATGATCTCAAGCAAACAACAACAACAAAAAATCTACAAAAATGGAGTTATCTGTTTTCGAAAATGAACTCTTCGTTTACAAAATGGAAGAGATGACAGCATCTATAAATCAAAAACAAGACTGGTTTGTAGTGTGTTGGGAAAAATGGCTACATAAAAATTAAAAATCCATTTTAATGTCAGGTTTGAAAAGTTAAAGACAACGTAATGGTCACTCCCTAATGTTCTAAAAGACATTTTGTCTATTTTACTTTTAATTTATATTTTTTTATTTAATATTATTTTTTCTCTTATTTTATTTATTTATTTTTGGATGGGAAATAGTTTTTTTAAAAAAACAACAAAAAAAAACAATGATAATATTGTGCACATGCTGGCATGTGAATTGTACCAATCATTAAAAATTGTTAAAACAGATAAATAATAAATATTTGTATTTGTTTTTTTTATTGAATATTTTTTCTCTTATTTTATTTTATTGGATGGGAAATAGTTTTAAAAATAAATGAATGAATAAATAAATAAAACAATGCTAATATTTCGCACGTGTTGGCACGTGAATTGTACCGATAATAATAACAAAAAATAAATAAAACTGATAAATAAGGAATTTTAAAATAATAAAGAAAATTAAAAACATGTGACACTTTCGCTGCTATTACAGATTTTTCCCGTCACCCCTTCCTGTGCCCGTCAGACAGAGTTCAGGATCCGGAAGTCGCTGCGGAGTGAGACCTCCGCGCCGTCCGTCCTATCTGTGGCGGCGCTCTGCAGCAAGCCGAGTGCAGCGCAGCAGCTCATCCAGAGCCATTCTGTTCTACCGTCGGCGAGGAAGATGATGGTGACCACGCCGAAGCGAGACTACCACATATAATATCAACGCCAAAAAGAGAAGAAAAAACCCAACGTGGTCGCAGCTTTTTCCCCCGCTTTCTTACGAATCCGCGACGCCGAGAGGTTCCAGAAACATCGAAGGAAACGGGCTCTGGTGAGTGTTTTGATGTCCGAAGGCCCCGATGTCTGCAGCCAAGAGCCCGCTAGTTTCAGGAAAAGGAGCGCAAGGGAGGGAGTCATTTCCTTCACCGCCATTTTGCGATAACAAGGAGCCGAAAACAGAGCCAAGAATCGCATGCTGCCGGGCGGAACATAAAGGAGATATCTCAGCCGAACACCGCCGTTTTGTTCCGTGTGCTTATTTTGCCAGCGGATGCTAAATGTTATTAGCATCCGTCGGTTAACGTCGGTCACCCGACGTCGGTTAGCTTATTTTGTGTCGCTCGCTGTCCATTGCTGCCACACCAGCTAACACTGGGACCCACTGCTCCTGTTAACTTCAGTTCGGTCGAGCAGCTAGTTAACTCGGTCACTAACCCACTTTGTTGTTGGGAAAGCAGCAGTAGCAGCGGTGTTAGCATGTAGCCCGGCTGTCATACATGTCATATTTTACTGCGTGCTCACAGCCAGCGCGTTACAGCTTAAAGATGATGCAGGCGGCTGAGCGCACGACTCCGAGCCGTGATCACTGATGGTTTTCTCTCATGTATTTGCTCCTAGAGTTCACAATGACCAACGAGGAGCCTCTGCCCAAGAAGGTGAGTCTCTTTAATCGGCTGTGTCACGTATTTATCAGCCCCTTTAATGTAAAAATAAATAAATAAATAAAAAAGACAATGAATTGCTTTACCTAACCAGCCCTGGATGCTCTTTCCACTCAGGTCCGCCTCAGTGAATCTGACATGAAGACCCTGACCAGAGAGGAGCTGTGCACCAGGTAGATTAAAGCTGTTTGTTTTTATGTTGTGGGAACATCTGATCTGTTTACGTGGAGCTGTTAACACACATCTCTGCTCTTCTCAGGTGGAAGCAGCACGAAGCATATGTCCAGGTCCTGGAGGCCAAATATGCAGAGCTCTGTTGTAAGTACATCTGATGCATTAATCCCTGTGACAGCACTGATCGCTGCTACTCTTGGCGGTGCTTGTGAAGGTGAGGTTTTCCTCCTTCTGATGCGTTTGTCGTCCTGCCTCCTTTTGTCACTGCATAGCCAACGACGTGCCGGGGCTGAAGGAGTCGGAGGAGAAGCTCAAGCAGCAGCAGCAGGAGTCGGCACGCAGGGAGAACATCCTGGTCATGCGACTTGCCACCAAGGAGCAGGAAATGCAAGAGTGCACAGTAAGTGTCCAGGCCTCTTTTAATGCTTTTTGTTTTGTCTCAGTGAAAGAACTCGATGTAGTCCCCCCCTCAAATATATATTACACGCTTTGTTGTCGCACGAGGCACCGATCTGAGCGCGACTGAGCTGTTATTTTCTCCAGTTACAGAAGCCTGGTCATCAGTAACGCTCTATAAATGAGTAATGATGAATTACACGGTGCAGTTATCTCTCAGAAGTCCTGGTGCTGCAGCCGACCATGTTCTTCACCCATTAGTTGATTTATTATTGTGTTTTTTGGGGGTAAATGTGTCTTGATGCCTGTTTGAATACAAAAAAAACCCAAATTTCAAGAAAGAAATGTTGTGAAATGACATAAAACAAGAATCAACTGAATGTTTTCAAACCACCTCGTGTCAAAATCGGATCCTTTTAACTCTCTCTCAGCAAACTGTTTGCCGTCGTACCGGCACAACACTGAGCCTTGTGGTCATTCAGGATAACGGAGAAGTAGGCTAAAGGTAAATTGTGCCGAGGAGGGCACCCGCTGCTCTTATCAGATTGACAGCTCAGTGGATCAACCGGTGGCTTAATGGCAGCACATGCCATTCTTAAAGAGTGGCCGAGGTGAGCTCAGCACACGCAGCCAGGTGGAGCTTTGAAGGATTTTTAAACCCTGCAGCTGCTGTTTTACTTTCACCCTTTAAACTTTAAAACACAGGACTTCGTTTTCAGCCGAACTGCCGGAGCTGGTCGGCATGTCGGCTGCACCTTCTGCCTTTTATGTAAACTTATTCAAATATATTCTCGTCGCGATCACACCTTTGACTTTGGCCGGTGAGTTTTGTTTGTGGTCAAGCAGGAAAGGAACACGTATGATAGTTGTTGGAGCGCGAGTACGTTGTGATTTAATGAAAGATTACGGTGAATGATCAGGGCTGAGTATCTAGTGTTTTGTGTTAGAAGTATCTGAATTTAAATCTGCTGCAAACAGCTTAATCGTATAACGTAAAGAGACGACATGCTGAAGTTGCTTGAAATTTCAGATGACAAATTGAGATGGACCGGCTGTATAACAGAACCTGGTACCAGGACATGAGGGTTTTAGACTTTATGGGTTTTTGGGGAAACTACAAATGTCGTAATTACGGATTAGTTCTGGTCCTTTAAACCATCACAGAGGGCGTCTTCATCTTTACCCGCCACTGACACGTGTTTGTTCTACCCCGCAGACCCAGATCCAGTACCTCAAGCAAGTCCAGCAGCCGAGCGCGGCCCAACTGCGGTCGTCCATGGTGGATCCGGCCATCAACTTGTTTTTCCTCAAAATGAAGGCTGAACTGGAACAGACTAAAGACAAACTGGAGCAGGCCCAAAATGAACTGAGTGCCTGGAAATTTACACCTGATAGGTAAAGACAATCAAAAATAACTCCCCCCCTCAAAAAAAAGTCAAGACTTCCTCACGCCCCCCACCCTCACTCTCACTGCAGGCATGCAGGAACAATGGTGGGGGGGAAGGCTGACAAATGCTGTACTCACCACGAGACTCAGACTTTACAGAAAGCCAGTCACTGCAAAACAAAACTGTTTTTGTACTCTCGCACTGTGCCAGCTACATATCACATAACCTAAAGAGAAAAGACAGTATGGTCAGGTGACACTTGTGTTTCAGCTCTCTCCCCTCGTGTCCCCTCCACCGTCCAAGGGCCTGAAGGAGTCCGGACTGTTCCTGAAGAGGTGGTCACTCACATGCCGACATGGATATGCCCTCCTCCTCCTCCCCGCCCCCTCAGCTCAAACCAGGCAGTTCACACATTAACTAGGAGGAAGGGGGGGTTATGGTGGAGGTTGAGTCAGGCAGGGGGCATCCCGGGCCTAAAACAGCAGTCGAACACTTTAAAGACAGTTCCCACACTCGTTTGTTAAAGACATTTAACGGTGGATTCACACCACACTCAGATACCTGCTAGTCTGCCTGAGAAATGTAAAGACTTTGTTTTTTGGACAGTCTAGACACATTCCAGTAACATGAGGACAGTTTCTAGGATTTAAAAAGTAAGACTGTGGGGAGGGGAAGAGCCACTAGAAATGACATTAAGACTGTGAGCGGAGCCAGATCCTCGGTCCACAGAGGGCTGTGGTTCAGGCACGAGGGTCCGGTCGCCCGAGTCTCTGAACACGGGCCTGCACACGGTAGAGTGTATTTACATGTTTTATTCTGTGATCTGTTCATCTTTATTGGTATTTAATTTGATCTTTCTCTTGTTCCACTGAGACCAACACTTACTGCAGTGTGTGTGTGTGTGTGTGTAGGTCTGTGTGTGTGTGTGTGTGAGTGTGTGTGTGTGTGAGTGAGAGAACCAGGAAGCACGATTGGCCTTCACTGTGTACTCCTGAGTGATTACTTGCACAGGTTTTAATGATGAACTGCTGTAGGTGCTCTGAGTTCCTGTTTTCAAGCTGTGAATGCAGATGTCTTTAACGAGTCATGTTATGAGTTGATGAGAATGTACTGATTGTATTTCTGTGTATTTCTGTGATTGACCACATCGTTTCTCCCTCAGCCGTTTAAGCTAGCAGGTGCTTAGACGTTTACTTTTCTGGCTCAGGTCTGTAGCCCAATGTTCACACAATGGAGTCTGTTTTGTTCTTTGCCTGTCTTAAAAAGCAAACTTCCACTCAGATGTGAAGCGAGACAGCGAGGTTTGAAGTAGCAGTGTATGTACAAGAAGCTTAAAGCCAGTTTCCTCCGACCACTAGAGAAATCTATGGTTACTACTACTGCTGGAGGAGGAGCGCAGTAAATGCAGATAAATAATTGATGTAAATGCCTAACTGCATTTTTATTGACAACAAGTAAGAGCACACATTCTTGATCTGGGCTATTTTTTTAAAGTGCCATCAACACTTTTATGACTTTAGCAGGATGCAGCTGCAGAGTTATTTGCTTTAACAGTTAATATCTCCGGATAGATAGGCATTTATAGACTAACTGGAGCTGAATATGGTTTTAAATCATGTATGTGTTATTTTTTGTGCAAATTTGGCATCCTGAGTAGGGATTTCTTAACCACTGCTAATGTAAAACCAACAGGTGTGCCGGACTGTTTTTGACTTGTTGTAAAACTGAGAAAGCAGCACCGTGCCGGGCTGTTTGATTTTACTGTTCAAACACTTGATCCATGTATTTAAAGTGAAAAACAACAACAACCTGTGCCTGGTCCTGCAGTGCACGCTCTCTACCTGCTGCTCATAGTCACGGGTTGGTGCTTAAACTGTAGGTTTTCTTGCAGCATGTAATTCTAACATCTGTTTCATTTTGCACTCTGCTTGTTCTTCACATTCAGGGATGTTATGAGAATTTGAGACTGAAAATCTTGGTAGAGATTGAATTGCTAGAATCTTAAAAGTTTAATTTTTAAAATGCTTCCTGTTCTTCAATGCTGGTGAAACCCGTTAGTTCAGTAGAAATGTCGGCTTGTTTTGAGTTCCAGCCACATCGAGGATCGTAGGTTTTTAATATTTATTCATGACTTAATTCATTTCACCTAAAGAAGAAAAGTAATTTCATACTTTGGATCTTTTGCCAGAAGTCATGAGCATACATTTGTACAGGACAGATCTGTGTCAGTGGGTCTTTATGTTGTTTTTATGTTGCGCTGGAGTCTGATAGATTTAATGAAATTTGTGTTTTGACAAGAATCGTTTACGGGCTGAAAAGTTTCTCTTGACCTCTGGCAAACTGGGAAGCGGGTCGTGCAACTGGAACAAAATCCCTGCCACCTGTGTACCTGTTGTGTTTGTGTCCTGGTTCACTGTGTGATGTGAGACTTGTTTCCCTTACAGCCAAACGGGGAAGAAACTGATGGCCAAGTGTCGGATGCTGATTCAGGAAAACCAGGAGCTGGGTCGGCAGCTGTCCCAGGGACGCATCGCCCAGCTGGAGGCTGAGCTGGCCCTGCAGAAGAAGTACAGCGAGGAGCTCAAAAGCAGTCAAGACGGTGAGAAAACGACGAGCATCTCACAGCCTGCATGTCATGTACACCTTTAACGTCACGCTTGGAGTTAATTTTGTCTCTGTTGTTTGTTCCTGCGTTGTTGCTCCCAGAATTGAATGACTTTATCATCCAGCTCGACGAGGAGGTAGAGGGGATGCAGAGCACCATCCTGGTCCTGCAGCAGCAGCTAAAAGACTCCCGTCAGCAGCTCTCTCAGTCCCAGGGGCCTCTGGTCGGAGCGGGACCCAGCAGGACTTCACCCACTGCTTCCAGCTCATCCGCCGAACCATCCACCCAGCCCGAGCAGGCCAGCGCACCCTCCGAACCGATGGGCAAAGACTACGGGAGGGTCTCCAACGGTCCGAGCAACGGCAACTCATCCCAGAGGAGCGAGACCACTACGCCCAGCCTGTACCGGGAGGTGAGCAGCACCGAGGAAGACTTTCCCATGTCCCCGATGGTCTCCAGCCCCGGCGAAGCTGAGACCAAACTGTCCAACCACTCGGAGGAGGCTCCAGGGAGTCAGACTGCTGCAGGGAGAGTTGGAGGACCCGTGGGTTTCGGGAGCCAGCTGAGTGCAGGGTATGAGAGCGTGGACTCTCCGACAGGCAGCGAGACGTCATTGACTCAGCACTCGAATGACACGGACTCCACCACCGACCCCCACGAGGACAAGGCTGCCCTGGTAACCAAGGGCACCAGGACTGCAGGGTCACGGCACGCTCAGAATGGCCTGGACTCCAGCACGAGCGACAGTGCGGTTTTGTAATGTACTTTGACATGTACTGTTTGTTTTTGTTTTGTTTTTTTTTTTTTCATTTTTTTATACAGTATACAAACAAGGCAACAAATGCATAGTCTGTAACACAGCACTGCTGTCCAAGACGTTTTGTTTTCACCCTCCTCCCCCTGCCTATCGTGATGCCTCTGTCACACTTGTGTTGCTAAACGGGGATATAACAGGACCGGGTTAATGTTAGATTTAAATTGCGTGGGTGTATGATTTAAACTAGTACGTTTCATTCTGATGTTTCTTTGAGCACGTCTATGCTGTTTCTTGTTTGAGCTCTTGACACTGAAATCAGACATCTGGTGTTGTAACTCATCAAAAGTCAGTAAAATCACTGAATTACAGTAGCTTCGCAATATTCAAGGAGGTCATTTTTAGATGTTGGCCTGTGTTTTTTTTTTTTGTTTTTTTTTTTAGTGCAATTTTAATTTTTCATTGACAAAAATTCTGTTTGAAAGATTCTGTTGACTTGTGAGTAGTTCATATGCGATGTTCATATTATTCTGACTTCAGTCCTTTTCATGTACTGACCAAATACCAATAAAGATTTTTAATACTATAGAGTGAAACCCGTTATTAGTAGCTGCCAGTACAGTAGTTTGGATTACTGAGGAGGTGCTGAGTTAGAGGGGGCATCATAATAAATGCACATAAGACTGAATTACTGCCGTTACAAGAGTGCAGTGCAGCCATACGATTGAAGGTAGCACAAGTAGAAGCCTGAACAGGTAGAAAGGAACAAAAGATCAGTAGAAAGCTGTGTGAGGTGTTCTGTTTTTAGCAATGTGTGTTTTTGATCGTAAAACTACACATTAAATGCAGTGTATTTTGATAGAAAAATACAACAAAATGCAGAATAAATATACATAAAAGTGAGATTGTGGATGTTCAACTCAATGCAGTTCCTCCTGTTGCCCTCCCAGACACATGGGGGCGCTGTGGCTCCCAGCGTCGCTCGTACAGACCCACTCAGACGTCCATGCAGTGTGTCAACAGAGCTCAGAGCAGTTTGTTCAGGAACAGGACTCTGAAGGCAGCTGTCCTCCTCCAAGCTCTCTTCTGTCAAAATGAACACCGAGCCTGTGGTCATCGTTGCTGCTGCGCGGACGCCGATAGGTAAAGTCGGATACCGGAAAAGTGCACATTTATTACAGGAAGTTTAGCATTTTCTGCTGCTAGTCTGTGCTGTCAGATTATCAGAGGCAGTCAACTCTGTAGTTATTCTGTTTTTTATTATTACTATTTTATTATTGTACTTATTTCATTATTGTTCCTCCGAGCAGCATTTCCTGGTGATTTTTTATTTTTTTTAATTTAGCAAAGTGGTGCGGTGTCCTTCAATTAAATACGCGGCGTCTTGCAGAGCTGTGATTGGCTGGTGTCAGTGTCCGGAGTGAGCTCTGGTCGCTGATTGGCTGACTGGTCGTAGTGCGACAGAGCGGCGTGTGCTCCTATTGGCTGACCGCGGGTCGTCCTGTGTGATGTGACTGATTTAATTTGTCAGGAAATCCACTGTTGTCTCAGTAAAGTCAGCACATCCAGAAAGGACAGTGGTATTATTAATAAATCAGAAAAATAACATCAACATCACTTCCGGTATTTCTGTCCTCAGTAGTTTAAGGAACATCAGTTTCAGTATCGTGTAAAATCACTTTATATTATTACCATGTACAACATGTTCATGTAGTGGGCAGGGTTTCACTTTTCATGTGTAATATTTCAATGTCTTGTCAATATTTCATTATCCTGATGTTACATTACTACCTCAGAATCACTTCTTATTGTCTTTTTTCAGCTTTTATTTCTTATTGTCGGTAAAGTATTGCACCTGTATCTCACTGCTTTTCCTCATGTTGTGACATTTCAGTGTCTAAACAATATCAGCAATGTTCTTCTTTGTCAGAATAATAATGTTTTTTGATTTAATTTCTCCTCACGTTGTCAGTTTACAGATGAAGTGTGTGATTTTGCTTCTGCAGCGGTTTTATAGCTATGTTTAGTTGCAGTGGTTGTTTAGTCAGTCGAACAGAAAGCCTGTTTGGTTTCAACAGCTCAAATTCAACATCTTTTGACTTTTGGACCGTTTTCTGATTCAATGAGGCATGTTAAGATATTTGGGCTTGTGAGGGACATTTTTCTCCTTTTTTCACATTTCAGAGACAAAAACAAAGTGAAGGATTTATTAAGAAAGATGCGCTATGTTAATGAAACGTTCAGCCTGCAGGGAAAAAAACTAACAAAAAACTGTGAAACCCACCAAACAGCTGGTTTTTAGAACCCAGAATCTTTACATTACTTATTTTTTGTTTTGGTTGTGTTCAAATCATTATAATCTGACGGTACAAAAATATAACTGATTAACAAATATTAATATTTTAAATCATTTTATCTCAACAGAGCATCACAGGATGTCTCTGTGATGCCACTTAAAGACATTTAAGCTACGATGTTAGCATTGAGGGCAGAGTTAATCTACTTTTTCTGCCTTAAAACCAAAATCAACAACATTTTCAAAAAGCATCTTATGATTTTGGTAAAGAGCAGAGTGTTGTCTGTGTAAAATGAACCAACAGGACCTTCACATGGTTGACATCCACTGATGATCATATAACACCTTTCTATGTTTTTTACCAAGGGTCCTTGAATGGCGCTTTGTCCACGGTGCCGCTCCATGACCTGTGTTCAGTCGTGATCAAGGACGTTCTGAAGCGGGCTGGGGTCAAGCCAGAGGAGGTCTCTGAGGTTATCATGGGACACGTCCTGACAGCAGGTAAAAGCTCAGCTCATAGATAAAAGAGGGGCAGAGGTCCAATATTCATGTGTCACATGATCATATATCAGCTCCAATTTCTATTTGCTTTGCTAGTTTTCCCTGTTCTGTCTTTCAGGTCACGGGCAGAACCCGGCTCGTCAGGCCAGCGTCGGGGCGGGGATTCCTTACCCCGTCCCTGCGTGGAGCTGCCAGATGGTGTGTGGCTCTGGGCTGAAGGCAGTGTGTCTGGGAGCTCAGTCCATTCTGACCGGAGAGTCCGCCGTGGTGGTCGCAGGGGGCATGGAGAGCATGAGCAGGGTGGGTGAAGATGTGAAACTGGAAACCGATCACGCAGTTTTAGAGTTCAACCGATGTATCAGTGGGCCGGTACTGGTTTATTACAGATAGAGTCGTGGCTTGATAATCCGACACTAAATGTAAAACCTTCTGTTATGTCGGATATCAAGGCTGTCGGATTGTCCAGACGGAGGTCCAGATACGAGGAGGGCTTGATGCTGGAAGGCTCATTAGTTGTTCATTATTGTTCATAGTTGTTATAATAACTAGTAGTTCTGGTCCCAGTAGAACTTTCTGCTCTCTGGATGTTCAGGCCCAATTAATGATGAATATCAGAATATTCTGTGCGGTCGGGGGACACTTCCACCCCGGGGCAGTGCTGTGCCGGGGTGGAAGTGTCCAGAACACACAGGCAGTACTTAGCTGCTGATGCTAGTTTAGTTAGCGCTCACACTTCTGTTTCCTCCATCGGTGGCGGCGGGGGAGTGGCAGATACGCTCCACCGTTACCATCCATGTTTACTTCCATAAACACTGAGCACGCTCGCTGCGTGTGACGTCGTCGTGTCCTCTTCTGCGCATGCGGGACACTTTTGGCTCGTATGAAGTTCACACAGCAGATCACATACAAGTCGCATTGAACTGGAAACGTGAAGGAAGTCACAAAGAAATCCTCATTGAGCATCAAGTCCTGCAGTGTGAACGTAGCCAATCTGTGGGATTGTTCAGTCAGATAAGAGTCACGACTGTATGTTGGTATCATCATATATGTTGTCCGATATTTGCCGATATGAAAACAGAACATAGAAAAATTAGCTTCTGGTAAGTTAGAAATGTTGTCTTCACATAATTTGTCCAGCAGGGCGCGCTATGACTGTTCACTCTGCAGCACATGTAGCAGAGTATCACAGCTGAGCAGATGCTGGTGCGAAGTAAAGCTTTGTCTTAATGCTAAGTTGCTAACTAAGAAATACACTGCAGGAAAGTAAATAAACAATGGTACTTACTTTCTCTAACACAGCCTGTATAAACACTATCAGCTGATACATCCATGTCAGAATTTCTTGTATCCGTGGCCCTGTAGACATGAGATCTACTTTTACGCCAATGCTTTTGGCTTTACAATGAAAACTGGCCATTTGTTGATTCATTACACCACCAGATAGGACCTGATTACACTGCTGCTGGTGCGATATCCACAGGTTAGCGTGTAGGGGTACAAATAGTGCTGTGTCCAAGATCACAGGAGGTTTTAACTGCTGCTTCTTTGTCTTCTCAGGCTCCTCACACAGTACAAATGAGGGCAGGCGTGAAGATGGGCGACGCCTCCCTGCAGGACTCCATGGTGGCCGACGGCCTGACGGACGCCTTCCACGGCTACCACATGGGAATCACAGGTCTGGACCTATCGGATAGTTTCCCGCAGCAGCCGGCACAGTGCTGCATATTACAATGTGTTCATCAGTATTTCTCGCTGTGGTGAATCTTTATCAGCTGAGAACGTGGCGAAGCAGTGGAGCGTGAGCCGAGAGGAGCAGGACCGCTTCGCCGTCCAGTCCCAGAACAAAACGGAGGCGGCGCAGAAAGCAGGATACTTTAATCAGGAGATCGTTCCCGTCATGGTGCCGTCCAGAAAAGGTCAGTTCTGTCGTGGTTTATTAGCTTAATAAGACAAGACATGTCCTCTGTGTTTGATGCCCACATGTTTCTTTCCCTCTCAGGTCCGGTGGAGGTGAAGGTGGATGAGTTTCCTCGACATGGCAGCAGCTTGGACAGCATGTCCAAACTCAGACCCTGCTTCATCAAGGACAGCAGCGGCACCGTCACCGCTGGAAACGCTTCAGGTTCCTTATGAACTCTGACGTACGTCTGCTGTTATCCAGCTGTTCTGTTGCAGTATTTAAAGTTGCTTTTGCCTTTTTATAGGTATCAATGATGGAGCAGCAGCAACAGTCCTGATGAGCCAATCAGAGGCTGTGAGGCGCAGCGTTAAGCCAATGGCCAGGATTGTATCGTGGGCTCAAGCTGGCCTCGAACCTTCGATTATGGGAACTGGACCAATCCCAGCCATCAGGAAGGCAGTGAGAAGCCGGCAGAGATAAACGTGGAATCTGCTTGTCTGTTTCTTTTTAATCTCTTTTCCTTTCACTGTCTCTCTCAGGTCGAGAAAGCCGGCTGGCAGCTGGACCAGGTCGACTTGTTTGAGATCAACGAAGCATTTGCTGCTCAGTCAGTGGCTGTGGTCAAAGAGCTCGGCCTGAACGCAGACAAGGTAACGCACCAGCGGCTATAACTTCACATCTGTCTCTTTAATGAAACACGTCGTTGTTAACTTTTCCTCTCAGAAGTAAATGTTTCTCACCTCAAGAACTGCAGTAAAAAAGTAAATGTTTGAGATCTACTCTATCAGAGTACGATGGAGTAGTAGGGCCACGTTAAGACAAATATTTTTCCACAGACTTCAAGAATAAAGTTGGTATTTTACAAGAACAAAGTTTGAATTCAAGGAGAGTAAAGATTCTCCTGGTTTGTGACACCGATGCTGAAGTACAACTTTACAAATGCTCCACAGCCCTCATTAAACTGTCCTCTTCTAAAACAACTGGTTTAACTGTGGAAAAACATTTTTCTTCATGTGGCCCTGATACTCCGTCCTACCAGAGCTGGTTTTCATGTAATGAGATTGTCTCTGTGCAGTAACCTGCTGACTCTCCTTCTGTCCAGGTGAATGTGAGCGGCGGCGCCATCTCTCTGGGTCACCCCATCGGCATGTCTGGCTGCAGGGTGCTGGTCACTCTGCTGCACGCCCTGCAGAGGACCGGAGGAAGTAAGGGCGTGGCGTCCCTCTGCATCGGAGGAGGGATGGGCATCGCCATGTGTGTGGAGAGGGTTTGAATACCTGACGCTACCCAACGGATTGCACTTCATCTCGTCGTTTTGTTTTTTTAATGGATAAGGGACATGACACTTAATGTTTACACTGCACAGTAAAAGATAGAGTTTACTTCTTCCAGCCAATGTGCTTGAGGCAAAAGGGAGTCTGTGTTGTGGTCTTTTCCAGCAGTAGCTCGCCATTCTCACTGTGACCTCCATTTAAATTCAACCTTCCTCAGGTTCTAGCTGTCGAAGACTTAATGTTAGATATCCTGTTGGTACGAATGCAACCTAATCTACTGTATGTACTGTGTCAGTAGTGATTTAAAATCCTTACAACCTGGTTATAGGTGTACTAACTTAGCACCGTGCTGCAGGTAGAAGACGGTTAAAAATAGATGTTTCCAGTTACCTATACAGCTGAAGAGTGAAACACTACAACTTTCGAGGCTAGCTATTAGCGCCCAGCGTGGACGACATGCTTCCGTGTCATCATTTTAAACTTGTGGTGTAATTTATTGATATTTGTTCGAGGCATTCCAGCATCTTTACATGTGGGACAAATGGACCTTCTCTCTCTGATCGATTGTGCAGAAAACAGCCTTGAAACACGGTTAAGTGCCAAAAGGTGAAGGACGCCAGCCTTCTCTGCTCTCGTGCTTCCTGTACACGGGCATGTTTGCAAACTGTTTCTCCTGTAATCTTACTGTTTGACATATCAATAATAAATAACATAAATAAGAAGCCATACTCTCAGAAGCTGTTGTGAAATCCCTTGAAGCCCACAGAATAAGCACAGCCAGGCCAGTTTGAATTACCAAATCAACGGTCATTTACAACCATTGGAGCTTTATTAAGTGTCCAAAAAAAACAATCACTTACAGTTCCTCTGGAAGCAGGAGGGAGTGGGAGAACAGTAAACAGGCAAAGTGCACGGCCTAACCTACAGCGACAGCCATGAGGAGCTCCTTATGCATAAATACAGACGTTGAACCTATGGGGACCCATCAGAGCCCCTTAACCCTCCAGAGATCCTGACTCCACGGCATCCCTGTACGAATGCCCGCCCTCCTTCGGCTCTGGGAACAGTTTGATGAGGTCGTCGATGCGGAGGATGGTGATGGCGGCCTCGGTGGCGAACTTGAGGCTCTTTGTCTTGACCATGGTGGGTTCGTACACGCCGGCCTGGCGGTTGTCTCTGGGTTTGCCGTTCACTAAGTCCAGACCAATCCTACAGGACAGAAAGGGGATTAGATGCAAAGTTTGGCACAAAGTTAAACTTGGAGCGAAACAACACGTCTTCATTTATTATTGTTCTTTGCAGGATTTTGTTGAACCATCTTTAAAAATCCAGCAGTTAGTTTTTTGCATTTGGACCACAGCAGAAGGACGCTGGTTGTCGGGGTGCAGCCACGATATATTCTTAATTATCTGAACAATAGAATAATTTCAGCTGTATTTGACATACAGCATCCTGAACCCGTGTTACCCACAAAGGCTCACTCGTCTACAGCATCAGTTTAGTACAGTCGTGACTCGATAATCCGACACTAGATGTAAAACCTTCTTCTATGTCGGATATCAAGGCTGTCGGATTGTCCAGACGGAGGTCCAGATGCAAGGAGGGCTTGATGCTGGAAGGCTCATTAGTTGTTCATCATTGTTCATAGATGTTATAATAACTAGTGTGTTGTTAGAACACTACGCATCGCTGGATTTCAGCCTAACTGACCGGTGTGATTGTTAATGGGCCGTCGGCTGACATCAAACGTAAATACGTTCAGACAGCAGCTGAAGTGACCCAAATCGTTTTTTTTTCTTCTCCTGTGCGACCTGGATCTGGTCTTTTCATGACAGTCTGAACAACACAGATCAGATTAATGTTGAATATTTGGTGCAGTCAGGGGGAGTGGAAGTGTCCAGAACACACAGGCAGTACTTGGCTGCTGATGCTAGTTTAGTTAGCGCTCACACTTCTGTTTCCTCCATCGGTGGCGGCGGGGGAGTGGCAGATACGCTCCACCGTTACCATCCATGTTTACTTCCATAAACACTGAGCACGCTCGCTGCGTGTGACGTCGTCGTGTCCTCTTCTGCGCATGCGGGACACTTTTGGCTCGTATGAAGTTCACACAGCAGATCACATACAAGTCGCATTGAAGTGGAAACGTGAAGGAAGTCACAAAGAAATCCTCATTGAGCATCAAGTCCTGCAGTGTGAACGTAGCCAATCTGTGGGATTGTTCAGTCAGATAATACGCCGTCATCCTGATTGGTGACATTAAATGTCATGTTGGAGTCAGAATCCAAGGCTGTCGCTATGTTAAGGCTGTTTTTATGGGTTCTGTTGGGTTTTCCTAAAAACATGTCGGATAGCAGGTTTAGGATTGTTAAGGGTCGATTATGGAGTCATGACTGTGTTTTGTAGTTGCTGAGATCGTGCCTAAAAACCTGAGCACACAGAGAGACAGAGCAGTTTGTAAGACTGACTGATGCTCAAATAAAAGGCAGGACTCACCATTTGAGATTCTTGCGTTCGGGGTTGACCTGAGCCTCGTTGTGGAAGGCCCGAAGCTTGGCCACCAGGTCGGTGGAGTCCTGTGCTGCGTTCACAGCCAGCGTCTTGGGGATGACGAGGAGAGACCGAGCAAACTCAGCGATGGCCAGCTGCTCTCTGGAGCCCTGGAGAGATGAAAAAAAGGGACGAGTTCAGTTTCAGCTTGGAGGGGTTTAAATCTAAAAACAGCTTTGAGTGTGACGTCTTGTCAGTGTAAGGCTCACCATGCTGGTAGCATAGTTCTCCAGGTAAATCGACAGCGCTGCCTCCACAGCGCCTCCTCCAGGAACCACAGACTTGGACTCCAGCACCCTCTTGACCACGCAGAGAGCATCGTGCAGCGAACGCTCCATCTCGTCACACATGAAGTCGTTGGCTCCACGCAAGATGATGGAGGCTGACGTGCGTGCTTTGGTGCTGATGAGATAAAAAGTTGGACAAAAACAGCAGCAGCAGCGTTAACAGAGGTCAGACTGTAAACTCTGGATGTAGAAAGATGTGAAGCACTTTTAATTCTGGTTTGAGAGTTGGGTTGGTATGAACGCAGGACACATTTCCAACATGTGAGAATTGTTTTGTTTTTGAGGATAGTGGACACTGACACATGACTGAAGCCTCTTCTTGCCTAAATTAAACTTGAAATGTGGTAATTAGTCACACGGGGTATCTCGTGTCAGCCAGCTTCACACTCAGAGATTTTCTCTGACAGCGTTTCTCGGACTGTTTCAGAGCTCATCTGTCAGCCTGTGTGACATGTTTTCTATCTGGTTTGTTTCCACAGATATTATGAAGCTGGTTTCAGTCACTACAAAATACTTTACAAGCCTACAGACATTAATGTAGGTGAAACTGGGCTGAATATAGACATGAACAAGCCCAACAGCCCCTAATGGTTCCCTGACAACAGAACAGCTGATGCTGTGAATGCACATCTCGTCCTTGAACATAAGACAGCCCTCAGCTCTTCAAATTTAATATCAAGAAGAAGAAAAAAACTGTCTCTCCGGGCTACAACAACTCAACACAGCTCCTGCCAGCACTGAACAAAAACTACTTGGACTCGGTGGAATGGGCCGTACTGACTGAACTATCCGACTCCACGTGGTTTTACGTCCAACGTCACCCACATAAAACATGGTAATGTAGCTGCAGTTCTTACTTCTTGACGAGGATGAGCTCGTCGTCACAGATCCGCTCCTGCACGACCTCCTCGGCCTGGCCGAGCATGGTGGCCTCGAAGGTCTCCTCCCCCTCCAGGTTGGTCAGAGAGGGGCAGACGGTGGCTGAGGATGGACAAACAATGGAACACAGTGGTAATCAGACACCTGGTGTAAACTCAAGACATGAAAACATGAAGACGAGTCATTCAAAACCCCATCAGCACAAACTGCAGCGTCCTTCTTACCTCCCGTTGCCTTGGCGATGCGTTTCAGGTCCCTCTTGAGAACCCTTCTCACTGCCATGGCTCCTACATCCACAAAATACTTCAGACACATATCGTCTATGCCGCCGGTGGTCAGGACGACGTTGGCGCCTGCTGCCAGAATCTTTTGGATCCTCTCCTTGGTGATATCAGATTCCCTGGAACCAAACGAACAGAAGACATCAACGCTGGTTCTCTTTTACATTGAATTCACATCTTGTTGTATTCAGGAGAAACAAACTACACATCTCATATACACACAGAATCAGTGTCCAGCTCACAGTCGTGGTCGTGCAGCTGACAGAGAAGCTGCTGCCTTAACTTGTGGCTGCTGCTGCTTTCTCCCACGCGTATCACTGTGTGAACTACGGTTTCAGCACCACAGCAAATTTAAATGGGATGATGTGAAAGAGTAAAAACCAAGAGAAGTATTCCACGACCCACCTCTGTCGGATCTGGTCGAGCTTCTCTGGGTCGCTGATAATGACCTGGACTCCCATCTTCATCTTTGTCTTCTGCAGGCTGAAGTCCAGGCAGGCGATCTTGGCATTGACGACACGCTTCACCATGCCTTTGAACAAAACACAACACAACTTAAAACATTAATAAATAAATAAAAACCACACCACGGTACACAACAGGGTGAGGACAAAAGGCAGGACGTTGTTTTTGTGTTTTACATCCAGCACTTATTCTACTGTCTGGCCAAAAGAAGTGCCGCAGCTTAGAAACTGCTGCGACTGAATTCCTCTCAGAGCCAGCGTACTGTCTCCCACGCGTATCACTGCGTACGCCATCAGGCAGGACGAAGCAGCAAATTTAAATGGGATTCTAATTAGCAGCAGTTGTGTTTGCATAATGTAGTCGTGCAAATCCTCACATTCACGTTTACATTCTGAGCATCTTCGTGACAAACCCACCTTGTGAGCCGACCGTGCAGTTCACAGCGTATCCGTTGACCAGGAAGCTCTCCTTCTGGCTGCGGCCGTGGGCCTTCAGCACGTTCACAGAGTTGATGGGATACTTGGCCACTCCTTTGCCGTCCACAAACTTCACAGCCATGGCGGCGTCCACCACCATGTTCGCAAAGAAGTCTGCATCACTGAAGGTTTGGGTTCAGGCAAATACATGCAAGAAGGGAACGAGTTCTTCTACACACATAAAATGTAAACGCTGCCAGTTACAAACTGTGCTCGTTTCCTGCCAGTTCACACACACACACACACACAGACACACGTCCAGGATACACTCCAATGATTTTGGAAGACATGGAGGTCTTGGCTGCGTTGATGAGGCATTCTCTGCCCAGGTCGTCTGTCCCAATGGTGAGGTTCTCATTAATGTAGCGCACTGCCTCTCTAGAAGATGAAGAAAAAACAAGTTTGATCATCAGAAAACTGAAACAAACCCAAACTCCTTGTCCTGATTTAAATAATGCGTTAGCGTCATCTTACTTGCAAGCCAGACGGTATCCACTGATGACCGACGTGGGATGAATCCTCTGCTTCACCAGCTCGTCTGCGCTCTTCAGCAACTCTGCAGCAAGAATCACCTTAAAGATAAAACACAAAGTACAGCGTAAGAAAAAACCTGGGGCTGGTTCCATTTTCCAACAGAGTGGGCTCACACGACGGGGATTTCAACCCTCCTGAAAAACTAGCATGAAAACTAGTCTGGGATCTTAGTGTGAGCCGCTGTTCAGCCGAGATTATTTGGTAATGTGAGGAGTTTACACACCCGGTCCTAATCCTCCCAAAGCGCTCTCAGGGCCGCCCCAGTGAGCAAATCAAACATGTCTGATATTTATGAGTTAATACCAAGACGGGATGGTTACTGAATGCGGTCACCAAGGAAAAACTCTTAGCTGAAGATATTAAAACCTCACATCCAGTACGTTTAGGCATCACTGCAGAGTATTATTAACATGATTACAGCAGTTTGTTGAACCACAGTTTCTACTTTATTTACATCCTGTGAGGTGGAGCGCTGCTCCCTGGTCGCTCCCTCTGGCACAAAATCTCATCAAAACATCCTGCAGCATCCTTCACTTTGTTCAAACCTTGTAGCGTGTGCATGTCTGATATTAGACAGAAGATTATTGTAAATGTCTCCTTATGTACAATCAGCTGTCAGAAGCTCTTCATTGTTGTCTTCTTGTCTGAGGTGTGTGTCGGTATGAACGGACAGAGTGTGTGTGTGTGTGCGGTACCTCGGGGAGGGTGGGAACAGTACAGGGTGGGTCTGAGAGTTCTGAATATTGTTTCATGACAGAACTGCTGTTTGTTACGAGTGTCAGTAACATCACCTCTGACTCTGTTTGGTTCTGTGCAAAACTAATAAACAAATTTGAATTAATTAAAACTCCTGCAGCATGAGCTCGGCCTTCGAGTACTTCATTAAAGCATCAACGACACTCTAAGTTATGGGGTTCACACTGTGCCATCGTTTCATTAGGAGTGGCAGAAATGAAGCTGCTCAACCCCTTCAGACACTGAAGGACAGTTTCTCTTTCCTGTTAGCATAGCCACACATCCGTAGTAGACGCAGATGCACGGTACTAAAACAGGATTTCACTTTCTGCAACTCTGTATAAAGCACAAACGCAGAGACAACACGTTAAACATCCTTCATGGTCTCTGTTTGGGGCTGCAGGTGGAGCAGTGGTTAGCATCATCGCCTCGCAGCTAGAAGGTAAGGACACCCGGGATCTTTCTGCGTGGAGTCTCCATGTTCTCCCCGTGCAGCGTGGGTTCTCTCTGGGTTCTCTGGCTTCCTCCCACAGTTTCTCTGTTTGTTGATGAAGAGCTCGTGGCAGCTACTCACCACAGACGTCGTCCCATCTCCGACCTCCTTGTCCTGCAGGTCAGCCAGTTCACACAGGACCTTAGCGGCTGGGTGCTCCACCTCCAGCAGCTTCAGGATGGTTGCTCCATCGTTGGTGATGGTCACGTCCTGTCAAAACCACACAGAGACAAGCCCGATGAGCGACCTACGCTCCTAATGTTTATGATCTTATAAGCATCCTGTTTGTTAAAGGTGCAGATATTCTCTAACGTGACACAGACCCCGATGTCGTCCACCAGCATCTTGTCGAGGCCAACGGGTCCGAGGGAGCTCTTGACGATGTTGGCGATGGATGCTGCGGCCATGACTGCACAGAAAAGAGGGAAGTCGTGACCGGCGGATACGAAATAATCCGTTCATTTAAAAGACAGACAGAGCATCTTTAGGTATGCAAGACTTAACTAGTAAAAACACTTTAGCTGTAGACATGTTCTGTCATTTTATTGAGCGGGGCGCACAGGCAGCTAGCCACACCTTCAGACCATGACAGTGTTGTTCTGTCCCATTAGCATAGCCCTCCATTCATCGTTATACGAATGGAAGGTACTGAAACGGGATTGCATGATTTCAATGAATGCTACCAGCGTTTTCTGTGGAAAAAACAGAGGGAAGCTTTGCAAAATACCACCAGAGAAGGAGCCGAGTCTGGAAGTTAACGGTAAAGTTAGCTAGCGTTAGCATTAGCCACACGTGTGTTAACGGGCAGTACATTAATCCGTCTTCCTGTCCTCCGGTATAAACGCACAGAGAAGCGGCTGCGCAGCCAGACAGCTAAAGACAAACAGCACGACGACTCACCATTCTGAGTGCGGACAGACTGGCCAGTCGTCCTCTGGCCGAGCACGTTTAACGGACCGTCTAATAGCGACATTTTGGACCACCACACAGCCGAGAAGAAAGGAAGCGGCGCGGTGCACTGTGGGTAAACCGGCGCCGAGCAGAAGCTTCGAGAAGAAACTTTACAAAAAATCTCAGGCTTTACAACAAGAAGGTCTTTAATTATGTTGTGTATCTCCACTTAAAATACGTAACGAAACTCTGCATTGATTAGTTTCCTCATCAGATTAAAAAAGAACATTTTTGGCAAGTTAGTTTCTATAAACTACATTTCCCAGCATGCCACAGAGCCGGCCTCATCCGCCTCCTCCTTCTTCTTCTTCTTCTTCTTCTTCTTCTTCTTCTTCCTGGCTGTTAGTGCGCCCTCTGCTGTTGTTTTTACTATGACCAATAGTATCGTAATATAAACACGTATTTTTTGTCTTTTGCTTCATTTCCTTCTGCCATTTTTTATTTTTTTTATTTTTTTAGGAATGTTTTTATTCTAGAAAAGCATCATTAATCAGGAATTAAAATCGTCAGTATTTTCAGCCCCGTATAAAACATTTAAATTAGCTTAAAGAATCTAAATTAGCCGTTTTCTGTATTAACCACTTTTTTCTTTTGTTTTATTAGTAAATCTTGATATTTGTAGCTGCAAAATGGGGCAAAATTCAGTGTAGAGCTACACCTGCTGAGAAGAATATACTATTATGTGTAAATATTTTATGTCCTTTCTTCAATTTTTTATGGTATTAAAAAAAATTCAGTAATTATTTTAGTAATTTTTTTTCTGTTAGGAGAAATCCTTACAATCATCAATTACAATTTTAAATATGATATGCTGTAACAGATTAAACTACCAGACCATAAAATTACAGGATTTGTTAGTTAAACAATACTTCTAGCAACAGAATAACAGTACCTGCTGGATAACTCATTCATATGTTTTCAAATCGAAATTTAATGCAAGAAACTCCAAGTATGTCATTTGGTGTTTTCCTGATGTGGACTTACAGCAAACAGAATAGTTCTGAGGTTTAGACTGAATCTAGAGATGCCACTTGGCTCTGTAATCATGACAAGTATTTATTATATTACATATATTATATTGTAGACATTACAAAAATCGTGTCAGTTAAGCTAGAAAAGCATCTGCAGATTAATCTATGAAGACAACTGTCCTTAGTTTCATCCTCATATAAAGGATTTAAATTAGCTTCTTACAGATTGATACAGTTTTCACACGGGGCCATTTTCCTGCATCAAACACTTTTACTTTTGTTTTACTTTTACTTGTAAATATTGATGCTGAATTTTGTGACAGTAAACACCTACTAGGAAAAGAAATACACTACTACTAGTACTCATAATAATAATAATACAGAGTAAGTTGGTATATTCAATCATAAAAGATCATTTTCACATAAAAGTTCCAAATATGTACATCAGTTCTTTTACTTATCTGTAACTACAGAAAACTGATTTTTGATTCCAAATAACAACTGAATTTGAAGATAGTTTGACTCTGAAGTTATCACAGGTATTTCTCACCATTCCCTGGTGTTTTAAATTACTGACAATTAGGTTAAAGAATGTAGAAAAAATGTGTAGATTCATTCATGACAATTATCTCCAGTTTGATATAAAACATTTAAATCGGCTGCTTGCTTTTATTTAATTACACTGATATATCAAAGGGACCATTTATTTCTGCATGAAACGTGCTTCAAGCAACTTCCTTAATTATACTTACATACTCTGTGTTACTTGTGTGTATTTATACTGTAGTATTAGCATTACTTTTACTCAAGTGAAGGACCAGGATACTGCACAGCTTTGCACAAATATACAGAGACTATAATATGCTGATGAATATTCATTAGCTTTTGCATCCAGTGTGGTGATGTTTTTATTAAGTGACAACCACAAAAACAGCAACAACATGAGTTTAATCAGATTTTATTACCTCCAATACATTGTTTTGTTGAGCGATGACAACTAGGCAGTTAAAAAAATACAGTACACTTAACTTAAACATCAAAGCATTGTAAAGCATACCTATGGCATACAAGAATAACTTTCCTAAAATGTACATCTTTACAAAGTGTTTACAAGTAAAATGTAAAAAAAGACAGAAAAGTGCAAAAAAAGAGTCAATAAAGACCGACAATCCCCACCAGTGAAACAGAGGACAAAAAAATCACAATGAAAAACAAACAAGAACATACTTCATATTCCTAAGCTGTGGTTGATGCACATCTCCTGATCTGAACCGTCGGCGTGTTGTTGTGCTTCTCAACGTCTGTGTTTCGGTGATTTAAGGATTAAGCAGTGCGTGACAGAAAAACTACCATTTTCTGAAAAATATTCACAGTATTTGATTCAAATTTTGTGAGTCCCTAAATTAAAATAAAACCATCTTTTTCTTTTTTAATAAATATGTTTTACTTTCATTTACAACCGGTCTGTGGCTTGCAGTAATAGTGACGAGGGGCAGTAACATGAGGATGCTTTCAAATAAATAAGTGATTTAAAAAAAAAAAAAGAAACGTGTGATAAAGACTGTGTGAAGGGAGATAAAACCAATGTGCTGCATGAACCTTAACGAAGTGACTGACGAGGATGTGAGTGTGACGTTGTGTCTGTGATGTGATATCAGTAGTGTTGGGAGCGTCCCAGGATGTAAACAAGTAAACAAACAGCTCGACATCTATTTGAGACAAAAAAATAAAATAAAATACACCAAATACAGAACTGTACTGTAGTCTTTGAGCTAACTCTCCTTTGTGGTCCCTCTTAAAAATTAAAATTAGCATGAATTAAAAAACTAAAACACATCATCTAGCTGCTGAGATGAGTATTTCGCTGACGGATGCCCCCAGACTATTACACGTTAAAAACACGTCTGATTTGCTCACAGATTGTAAATAAATATGAACTCCTATGCTTTCTTATAGATTATCTAAAATATCAGCATCTTCTCTTGATTTTTTTTTTAGTTTTTTAGTTTTTAAAGCAGGACACCCTACTGGTAGTCGGCAGAGTGACGAACAATAACTTCAGATAGACTCAAAGGTCTAAGTCTAGTTATACTTAATCTAACAGATCGTTTAATAGCCGTGTAACGTGTTTTCTGTTTGTTTTGCTTAAAAAGCTGCTAAAAGTGACAAACTAGCCCGTGTAGCACATCTGAACTGTAAGTCTGTAAAGCTGCTTGTTCTGAACTGTCTGATAGTGAAAGCACGATTTAAAAAAACAAAAAACCAACGCTAGTGGTAGCTGTGGTCGGCCTCTCCTATCTGGGTTAAGATTAACTAGAGCTGCAGTTAAAATAACCTTAAGAACGAAATTAAAAGAAAGGGATCGTGGTCGAAGAGGTTCTCCTGACATGTGGAGAGAAGACCTGCCAGATGTGTGACGCTTCCATAAAAGATGATTTATCGCTTTAGGAACACCCTGAACTACTGAACAGCTTCCTATCGTCTCTACATACAGTTTGAGTTCCTTTGTTCATCTTCATTCACCGAGCGCCTTTCTGTCTCTGCTTTGAGAACATCTGGCAAACTCTTCCTGCCGGATCTGAGGGAAGTGCTAACGCAGGCTTTGATGTGGCGTTTTGACCGTTAACAGTAACGAGTGTGTTGTCCTCTGAAGCCTGTAACAGAGTGTGTGTCGTCACAAACACGGCCGTGAACAAAGAAACTGCTTCTGCTCTATGCTGACAGATGTTTGTGAGATGTTAGTTTATGACGTAGGAACAGATGTGGAGCGTTGAAGCAGCAGCAGCAGCAGCAGCGCCCCCCTGTGGTGCGATACGCTGTGTGTTATATTTGGCTTGTTGTTCAGGCGAAGCTGCTGGAGCTCAGACACTGAAACTTCTCCCTCAGAGACTGGACGATGTTGGGTTGGTTCTGCTGCGGTTCGCTCCACAGGTACTTTTCCAGATGCTCCCGGTTCAGAGATCTCAGCGGGTCGCAGGAGCGGACCGGGGTGGACGGCAGACTCTGAGACTGGACCAGAACCCGGCTCTGACCGGAAAGGACGGCCGAGCTGCCGTTTCTCTGCACCAACCTGTCCCGCTCCTGTTCGCTCTCGTCCTCCGAGCGGATCTCCACGTAGTCGTCGTCGTCTTCCCCATTGTCCTTGAAGTTGGCCAGGTAGTTCTGGGTGGCCGTGAGGATGCTCAGCGCAGAATCCCGGTTCAGGACCACCACGTGTTGGCCGTCGTGCAAAGTGAGCTCCGACTGGCCCTGGCTAAACCGCTCTGGGAGGCTGCTCTGCCGGCCGGCCCGACCCAAACTGGGGCCGTGAAGTCTGTCTGTGGATCGATCCACTGCGGGTCCGTTACACTTGAGTCCAGACTGGTGGTTCTTCTCCTGCTGCTGGCTGCCCAGAGAGCCGACCGACTGGCAGTGAGCGGGCGGGGGGGACTTGGAGGAGGGCGAGGACGGCGCGTTGAAGGAGGGATGTCTCTTAATGGAGCTGTACACGTGCTCCTCCTCCTTCTCGCTCGGCGCCGACACGCACGAGCTCCACCTCTGCGACGGCGGGGTGGTGGGGGAGGACGGGAAGGTCTTGAGGGAGGGGATGGAGCAGGAGGAGGTGAGCCGGCACTGAGGGGTGGAGGACGCCCGGGCGTCCCCGACCTCGCTGGACGAGGAGACGAAGCTGGCCAGCTCCCCGTTGCTGTAGGTGGAGTGGAGCCAGTCGTCGTCCAGGGAGGTCTCGGGCATGGACGGGGAGGACGGCAGCCCCGGGTGGCTGTGGTGAGGGGCGGCGGAGGTCTGACCGGGGCAGTCCTTGAACATCACCTGGTCGTAGAGCTGGGAGTACTCGGCTATCCTCGCACCTGAGGAGGAAAACAGAGGACGTTAAAAACAGACAGAATACAGTTGTTCAGCATTTTGGAGGAAACAGAAGAAACATATAAAAACAGGATCCAAGCAAAGTGTGAAGATGCTTATTTACAAATATGTAGAAACACTGGCATTGGTTAGATGAACTCTTCTGTTGTAGTCAGATCTTAAAAATGACGTAATGAGCTAAAAAAACAAAAAAAAAAAGAAAGCTAGAAACTCCACAGAGAGAGAACCTGAAGAGTTAGGAAGCATCCTCCTTCACCCAACAGCCATTTGATCAGTTGTCTTTCTATGTAATTTTTCAATGCACCACTCTATTTTTTTCTTTATTCTTTCTATTTATTTTATCCAAACTTGAAGTGAATGTTAGAGCTGCAATAACTAGTCAATTAATCAAGAAATGGAACATTAATCCACCTGTGTCACTGTAATTGTCATATTTCAAGAAAAAATACCAAAATATTCTTTGGTTTTCTTGCTTCATATGTGGCAGTACGTTAAATATGTTGGGTTTTAGACACATCGGAGAGAATAGTGTAGCCTCTAAGGAGCTATGAATGATTAAATATTGATGTCAATCCAATGTTGTAATCAGTAACTGAGAAAATAACATAAAAATCAGATAATCAGAATAACCAGATTAAGTGAATCTCCACTGATCTGATCTACTGACAAAGACATCAGCCTTTTCAGGAGCCTGGGGTACTGGCCAGATGTTTCTATAAGTATAAAACACAACTTTCATCTGGTTGAAGGTAAAGTACAGGCAAAGATCTGCCCTGACTTCCAGCACACATTGGAGCTGAACATAAATAGTTTGCTTCACCTATGGCTGCACCGCCTTGCTTCTTCTCCTCCAAGATGGCGGCGAGGTCCTTCTGCTTCTTCTCTGCTCTGGCCCGACTACACGAGTCTCCGGGGTCCATGCTCCTCATGCGCAGCAGCTGGTTGGCTTTCTTGATCTTCTGGCTGTACTGCCGTGCCATCAGGAACACGCGGCTCTTGGTTTTGTCCATCAGCTCCAGGGGAAAGTCCACCGACTCTCCCAGGAGCAGAGAGGAGGACGCCAGGGGCGAGTCCAGACCCGCCAGCTCCCCTGGAAACAAACTGTGGAGGTCCTTGATGGAGGTCTCTCTTGGAGAGGTGCTTCGTGGAGGAAGCTCCACCAGATCGTCGTCCTCCAGGCGGAAGCTGCCGCTGCTGAGGCGAGCCAGTCTGTTGCGGATGCTCTTCACGGTGCCTGGGAGGGGCTCCGGCGTGGCCGGGAGGGGCCGCGATGTGGGAGCAGGGCTGTGGTTTTCTTCCTCAGTGGTGCTTTCACTTAGAAGATCTGGAAGGTTGATAACTGGGATGGTGAAGGACGGTGTGGAGGTGACAGGCGGGTGTTTGGGCTGATTTGCTGGGGGGCTCTTGGGCAGGGGGCCGGCTGCTGGAGGACTGACTACAGGAGCGCTCTTTGTAGGACTGTTCTTGACAGACGAGGACTTCTTTGGCGACTCGCTGGCGCTCACAGGGAACGCAGCAGGAAGTCGATCAGCCTTCTTCTCGTTGTTCTTGATGTAGTTTTCTAAGTCGTTCCAGATCTCATCGACGTGCTCGGACATCTTGTCTCCTTTCTGTGAGCGCTGGGGAAACGTCTCAGAGGCAGAAGACGAGGAATAATCTGGCTCAGAAGAACACGGAACAGCACAGGAGGCCTCTGTTCCTTCATCCTCTCCAAAGTGGAGGCTCTCCTCAGAAACAAACCCTCCCAGACTTCCAGTCAGGTCCTGCTCCGAGGCCAGCAGACTGTCCCGCTCTTGTTTGAGTTTGCTGCCTTCACTGATTCCTTTGAGCTCTGTGGACGGTGGCTCCCTAAAGCAGATGGTGTCATAGATATTCTCCTCCACGATCTTCAGCTCACATGTTCCAAACGCTTTCCCTTCCTGTGTGGAGGAGCGGTTGCTCTCCGATGAATCGTCCGGTTCGATCGTGGACTCTGTGACCACCGGAGCACTTGGTAGCCTTTCTGTTTGGCCCTGGGAACCTTGTGCATCTGCAGACGGCTCCTTCCGTGACTGGCTTTCTTCAGGATCCCTTCTGATGAGGCCCATGCTCTTCAAGTCCTCGTAGCTGATGTTGTCATACACGTTTTCAATATCGTCTATCGTCAGTTGCTCGGCTGAGGATGAGCCGGACATGTCATTGCTGGATGATTCGGTGTGGATCACCTCCAGGTTGCTGTGATCGGTCTGCTCGTCTTCAGGACTCTCTCGGGGCTCCGTGGCCTTCTCTCCTGCACTGCTCGCCCTCCGCAGGACTCGGCCGTTACTGGGTGGAGGGTCGATCTGCACCGTGGGCACCTGCTCCACATGCCAGCTGCAGGGCCGAGCGGTTTTGGGCAACGACGGAGCCTCCGACCTCTCCGAGGGCACCTCTGGTTCTGGCGCGCTGGGCTCTGTGGGAACAAACATCTGGTAGATGTCCTCGTCCTCGTCGTCGGGCTGCATGGTCCTCTGGCGGGTCGGGAACATGGCCCTGCGAGCCCGGTGGTCGGCCCAAATGTTCCTCACAGAGTTGTCGCTCTCTGTGACTATCACGGAGGGGATGGGGGTGTCTGGAGGTTCCTCTGTCACTCGAGGTGTCCGGAGCAGCGGCGGGTGGTGACTTCCTTCCCTCACCAGGGACTCTCTGGCTCTCTGAGGTACAGGAAGGTAGAAACAGGTTGGTTCACATGAGGCGAAGACAGGACAAACTGATTACATTTCTCATCTATTACAATGAAGCTGTGAATCAGAACTGTACCTGCAGGTCGGAGGCGCTCATGTTGAAGGTTTTCCACTGTTCTATGCTATCAACAGACGCCTGAGGGTTCAGCCGCTTCCTGCTGCTTTTGCCAGGAACTCGCAGCCTCTTTCCGCCTCCCTACATGCAGAGTCGTCAGCATTAGCAACATGTTTGAAGGGAAAAGGATGAACATGGAATCAAACTATCCACTAAACTATTAAAATGAGACATAACGCATGATTTTAAGACACCGTTATATAACATGGACGTTTTTTTCCATGAACCCACCAGACCGCTGTCATCCTCGTCGTCGGCGTCCTGCTGATGATGCTCCTCCCCCTCCTCCCTGTCGCTGTGGTCGTAGTGGTCGCCGGGATCCAAGGACTCCTGTGATTGGTTGATGAGGCTGCGGCTGCGACCGATAGTGCCCAGAGCCAGCTGGGACACTGGAGACAGCAGGGTGGCACCTAGACTGGTTCTCTGGAGGGGAGCAGAAGGAGTTCGGTTTTAGAAAAAAGTCTGTGTGATAGTTTGTGCGTTGAAGCTGCTCGTCATCTTTGGGTTTAGCTCACCTTTTCACCGTCAGTGTTGGCAGCGTTCTGCTTCGCATTCTTCAGTAATTTGGAAAGAGGTTCTGGGAAGACAGAGAAGTGACTTCATGATGAATCCTTAAAGTTCAGCTGTTTGTGCATGTGGCTGTTTTTGTGCACATTGAACAAGGAGAGCAGCGTTTTTAATCCTCATCATCTGGTTTTGAAAAACATTAAGTTCACACACGTGGCTTTTCAGAAAATATTTTTCACCTTTCCTGCGTCCTCTGCGAGGAGTGGGGCCTTCCTTGGTTTGAGGGGAATCCTTCTTGTCACCGTCGGGGCTGTAATGAAACCCGGGATGATCTGGAGCAAAGACAGAAAAGATATACATAAAAATATGCTAATTAAAAAATATTAAGTGTGATTATATTTGCAGAAAAAAGAACATTAGGATTAAAATATACAGCAGAGCAACACAAACACCGTGTAAACTGACACTTACGCATTGCATCCATCTCCAGAATGGCTTGCTTGGCCTAGAATTCAATAAAAACAGGGAGAGGTCAGCAGGTTCAAGACTCAGAGTTTTGTTTTATTCACATGCTCACACAGATCAGGCAGCTATACGACCAACGAAGCCAAAATCTGACACTAGGTGGTGCTACAGTACAGTCTTGACTTAACAATTTGCGAGCAGCAGCTTTATGGGATCACTGTTAACTTTCTCAGTGACTCCAGAGAGAAATCCTCAGTTTCCACTTTCACTTGACAAACGAGCAAAAAACAATCAGAGCACATGAGAGAAGAAAAGAAGCAGAGATAAAGAAATATGGAGAGAAGAGGAGGAAGGAAAGACGCTTCCAGCACATCCCACTCAAAGCCTGTGATTGCACAATCGGTGAGCGCGGAGGGCAGATGTCTGCCGTCTTACCTTGGCAGGGATTTTGGCAGGATGGTTTTCAAGTATGAGTCTCTTCAGGTGTAAGATCCACATGCGCTTGTCTTGCTGTGATTTGGCCTGAGGGCAAACATCAGACAGACGGTAAGGTCATGCATTCACTTTGAAGGCAGCAGACGAGGTTGGGACGAATCCTGAAGCTTTTGGAGAATGGCGTTCTTACATCACACATCAGTAGCTTTTCTTTTTCAGCGCAGCGGTAAGGAAACTACAATGACCGGCATGAGCCTTTAAACGCTCAACATGTCTGAGCGCCTCGCTGAGCCCGGCCTGGATGCTCCACAAAACAATCACACACCTGCAAATAATCATTACATTCCTGCACCTTGCTGCCGGTGGCTCTGTTTCTAAGCATGTAAAAGTGTTTGATGATTGTTGTGACGAGAGCTTCTTATGTAACGGCGTCTTACCTGGACCGTGTGCTGCAGTTTGGGGTTCTTGTAGTGAAACACACTGAAGCTCAGCGGTTCTTTAGGAATCACTTCCACCAGCATCAGGTTGCAGCACTGGAAAGGACAGAGAGGAGGTGGTGTTAAAAACACGGAAACCTTCATCCATGTGGTGCTTCTGTAGGACGAGGACTGACCAGGATGTGAGCCTTGTACGTGTAGGTTTCTTCTCGTTTCTTGGTGATCAGCAGAAGCTTGTCAAAAAGGAAGAGAGTTCTTTCGTTTTTGGCTCGCTGCAGACGAAACGTTCCTTCGAGAACCAGCTCTCCGTAGCCGATCAGATCGGGACCCTTCCAGTTGGTCAGCAGGCTCTGGATTTCCTGCAGCAACAACAGAATCACAGAGAGTCTAATAACTTTGTTTGTTTTAACCGAGAGCTGGAAAAACAATCACACAGTTGTAATGGAAAGAGAAGATTTTTAAAACAGGCTTCATCAGAAGAATGAACTTCTGAACCTCAGCAAATAAAAGTTCAGTTGAACTGATCCAGTTTGTCAAAAGACAAAAGAACACACGGGTCCAAGTACAATAGGAGCTAAACAGGGAAGATGCTAAAAAATGAATAACTATAAGCTGTAACAGCTCTTTTTAAGATATGGCAGCACATCTACTTTAGTATAGGTGAGTACAGAGAGTGAGTGTTTTGCTGTTAAATAGAGGAAAACCAGACCATAAAAACAAAAAGGTTTACAGAAAATTAAAAGGGAAGTCGATGAGAACAAGAAAACAAATAATAATAATGAAAAAGAAAAGAAACTGTCGGGCCGGTGCTTTCTCTGGACTCTCAGTGTAAATGTTTCCACACATTCCTGCGTTCATCTCACCATCCCGTCTCCCCGCAGATAAAAGAAACAAGCTTCCCTTTTATGTGTCCTCCTTATGCAAGGCCATCATTAGCTCAGTGGAAAATGCTCTGACTTGCGTAAGACGCGGGGAGTTTCGGGGCCTTGGCCGGCTCAAACCTAGAGTTCACATAACTGTTCTGCGAAACAATAAAAGATTTGGCTCCTCGAAAGGCTTTGAAACTACCATTTCTGTTCTAGTCGGTGAGAGATACTGAAGGAATGCAGCGTACATCGTCACGCCCTCGACGTGTCAGGGACTCAGCAGGGAGCCAGTGGAGGACACCGACCGCTCCACAGGATATTTTTAGCCATCTGATGATTGTATTTTGTGTGTGCGAGTGCTTGTTGTACCTGCAACCTGACAGCATGCTCGTGCTTCCTCTTCATGTCGTTGATGTGCCAGGCCACTCTCTGCATGGTGTCTATGGCTTCCTGCACAACCTCATAGGTCTCTGTGTCCTTCTCCATGTGGTTGGCTATCTCCTGCACAGGCAACACATGCACTGTTAGTCAGCATTTGCACACAACGCATGCACAAACACTTACATACACCAATGTGTTGTTTTTCTGTCCATGGACGCGATGCATGCACTCCGATGCAAGCGCAGACACAGGAACACGCACACTGAGCGCCATATGTCTAAACATTTGGCTTCTCAAACGGCGCTGAGTTGGAAGCCGAGTCGAAACGTTGCTACTTAACCGTGCATGCGTTTGCACTGCTATAGATTAAAAACACCAAATGTGCGCCTGCATGTACATTTCTGCGGCTGGAGCGTCTGTATGTTAGTGTATGTTTGCGACAGACGGACGTACGTGCAGCAGCAGGTGGTACTTGAGGATCCTCTGCACTGGCTTGAGCAGGTAGGAGCCCAGGGGCAGGGAGTGCCTCAGAGATTCTTGGCGCTCGCGGAAAAACTTGGCCAACGCCTTATTCCTCATGCACTCCGTGAGCACAGCCACCGACCTGTGGAGACAAAACGCAGCAAAAGTAAGATGTCAGGGATGTGCGGCAAAGCATAATTTGACACTAATGGCAGGTGACAGCTGTATTATATGTCTTGAAAACCACACTAAAAAAATAAAAAATCACCTAATTGGGCAGAAACTGCAAAACCACAGAGGGACTATCAAGTCAAAGACACACGTGAGCACACATGAAAACATCTGAACAGGACGGACAGACATCGGCATTCAACTTTCAGCCTGGACGGTACAGTTAAACCAACATTAGGTTAACGGTGTGTTATTCTGAATGGCTCGTAAAATAATGCACAAAATAATATTTAAGTCATAATGTGCATAAATTTCAGCTGTGTTTATGTATCAGTCTAGAGGATCCATGCACGCTGGAAGTAGGAATGTGAGAACTTCCTGAATCTTGAATCTTTGCACGTATAGATTTCCAAATACATCCTCTACTGATCATCAAGCACCAGATGCCTAATAGCGTTATAGATGCTTTCATTGTGAGGGGTCGCCTTCGTTAACAAATCTCTGCCTCATATTCTAGTGAAACAGCAGCACTTTACAACCTGGTAGGAGCCAAATCCACTGCTCAGTGGAGCTCGCTTGCTGTGTGACCTACTGAAGAAGAAAGAGCTTTTTCACAAACCAACGGAGGCTGAATGTGTGTGTGTGAGATTACACATGCACAGTGGAAAAAGACAGAGAGAGACAGTTGTGAACTTGTCTCTGTCTTCTGCGTCTCGCGCATGTGTGTGTGTGTGTGTGTGTGTGTGTGCACACGCACGTGCACGTCTGCATGTCTGAATTCCAGTGCAGCTCCACACAGGCCTCACATTGTTCTGAGGAAACCCGACCTTAGAGCTCAGTATGACCAGGATACATCTACAGCCGCTGCCTGTGTGTGTGTGTGTGTGTGTGTGTGTGTGT